CCCGATGCAGACTTTTCCGGTTACCCTCCCCCCCCCTCGATTCAACATACCAATGTTTAGTTTTCTTACTAAGATGGATTTACAAAACCTTTTTCAGTCGTTATATCATTAAGGTTTTGTGTGTTTCTTTTATTTATTAAATATCACTTTCTGGCCGCTTACGCCACATAAAATTCGATCAAACGGAAAAATAAAAAATTATTTAAAAACAGCACATCTTTAACATTTCCAACACATAGTATTGCGCACTAAAAATAATTTTTTTTTACTCCGTATAGTGTTGCCATTGCTCGCCTTGAAATCCTTGATATTGAAAATTCGGGCTTCGAGGTGTCCATGTTCGTGTGCAGGACTACGTTATTCAAAATTCGATATTGAAATTCGGTATTGAAATTCAAAATTCGATATTCAATTTGATATTGAAAGTTCAGGCTTCCAGGTGTCCATGTACGTGTGGAGGACTACGTTATTCAAAATTGGCTTGGTACGTTGTATTCGTATTTTCAAAGTGCGAGAAACATGCACACATTCATGCAGATTCTTCATTATTTAATTTCTTTAAGTATAATGCATATTTGGTGGCAACAGTTTGAAAAAGTGATACAATTTGAAAAAGTGATTCGACGCAAAATGCCGTTTGGAGACTAATATCCTATATGGCACTAAGAGGCTTTTTTGGCTACAAATACACTAGAACACAGAGAAAAAAACCGGTTAATATTTTTGAAGAAGGTGATTTAAAAATTAAGTTAAGGAATTTTACGCCAAATATGTAAAACCCTGCATTAATTCTTCAATCTCCGACATCACATTCATCAAAATTGAACTTTCTGCAATTACAACTTGTTATTTTCTTTCTGAAAATTGTTTATATTGGTCGAAAAATAATAGCAGTACAAAAAATAATAAAACTTACATCTAAAAAACCACTTTTTGCAAAACTTTTGTTCGTATTCCTAGTCTAATTAAGTAATTTATCTGTAATTATTTGCAATCTGGTTATACTGTGCGCTGCATATTATGGAATATCATAGATAGAAACGTAAGGGTGTCGATGAGGGAAAACTTTCTTTTAAGAAAGGTCCATGCGGAAAAAAAAGTTGGGAATCTCTGATGTTCTACTTGCCAAGGTTTTGACAACAAGGAACTTAAGATACAATAACACGCCGAACAAATATTAACTTAGAAGCCAAACAACAAAAATCATTTTTATATTTTCAAATTTTTCACAAGACCAGTTTCCATGGTTTTACCGAACCATCATCCTCAGCTGTAAAACCGCAAATGAACAAGATAAGATATAATGAATAGATAAGATAAGAAAGCCTGGACAGGAGATAAGCCACTGACGCCATCTGTTGATGCAACCAGAACTAAAACATAATTTCTTTAAAGGCTGAAGGCAAAGATGGATTGGAATTAGGATCGTTAACTAAAACAGAAAGATTTTTTTTGATGTGAAATGTCTCTAGAAAATCCAGTTCACCAATGGAAGATGTTTGTTGAATAATTTTGGCAGCAGAGAAATTGAAAGTGTGATTTCGGACCAATAATGTTGGGCAACAGAAGATTTCTGTGGTTTCTTTTTTCTAACATATGTCTCACGTTCCTTAATGTGAAATTTTAAGGCTCTCCTAGTTTGGCCAATGTAAATTAAACCACACTGGCAAGGAATCCTGTAAATACCCCAGGAATTCATATCCGGAATGGGGTCCTTAAATATGGAACACGGAATTTTATTGATGGGAAAATAAACGACCCGAAAGTTAAATTTCTGCAATACAACTTTATAGCTAATTGATGGAAATAAGGGAATGACAACAGAATTTTTATAATCTCCTAAAACAAGAGTGTGCCTTTCGGTGTGTTGAGATGAGAATTGTCTAACTGCTTGATTAATAATGCTGGGTGAAAAGCCCCTGTCAATAGCTATTGCTTTTAAATAATTTAGTTCTTCCTCAAGGGATAGTTTGGAGGAGCAAACTTGAAGAGCACGGAAAACATCGGAATAAAATGAAGCTAACTTTTGTTTAGTCGGATGATATGATTTGAAGTGTGGTGGAAGGCATCATTTGAACTGTGACATTATATCTTATCTCGTTCATTTGCGCTTCTGCAGCTAAAGGTGATGGCTCGGTAAAACCATCATCAGTCCTGTGAAAAATTTGAAAATATAACGCTGTATTTTGTTGTTTGGCTTCCAAGTTAATATAACAAGGAACGTGTTGGAAATAAATATATATATTTATATTTAGAAGAAACGTCCTTTCATCTTTTCCGGTCTCTTTTTACTTCCTTGTACAAAGTAAAAAGGAAGTATTGTAATCGCGAAAAGTTTCAGGCAGCATATTTCAACGAAAATAATCCATTTTGACCGCTATCGAATGCAAACGATGTTTTGGCGTGATATCTGTACGTAAGGAAAGGATAATCTTTTCCTGCAAAAAATTTATAAAACTGCTTTAAAATGAATTCCGAAGAGAATTTTTCGTGGCGTCTGTACGAACGTATGTACGTACATACGTATCTCGCATAACACAAAAACGAGTAGCCTCAGAACGTTGAAATTTTATATATAGGACTGCTATAACATGTAGATGTTCACCTCGTATTTTGGTTGGAATCGGCCGCACCAAATGTATATAAATATATTTATATATATATTCACTCTGTTACCCGGCTCAGTGATCTAAGTTTCTTAACTCTTATATGTTTGAAAATTGTACATTTTGTGCTTTAAAAATGATTGAATTATGTTGTTTTTATCTTCCGGTTAAGGTTTTTATGCCTTTAGTAAATCTGTATGCAATATTTTTAGAATTATCAACAATTTTAAAGTTGTTTAAGTGCCGCTAAGCCTAATAATTTTTTGGATGGCGGTCATTGCTTGTTTACATTTGAAACAGCAGGATAGTGTATTTGTTGCCAATGTAGAGAAACTTAGCTTCGCAACAACAAAGGTAACGCCTTCTTTTATTATCGCGAATTAAATCATGCTTAATCCTTTCTGGAATTTTTTCGAGAAAATAAGTGTTTTTAAGATTACTTCGTAATTTTTAATACAGATATTTTGAGTTTTTATGTATTTTTGGCCTTGTGGCGAAGTGAGAACTGAATTAATTGAATGAGAAATACTCAATCGTCTGGGAAAAACAGTGCTTTTTTGTTTTGTATGCTTAATTTCTTTTAGGCATCGTTCTAGCTTTATTATAGTATTTGAATAGAACACGTGGCAACGATAAGATAATTGTTTAAATCATATCAATTTTGTGCATTCTGAGTTATAATATGAACGAAATATTATACTGTTAAGTGAACCTAGCGCCAGAGTGTCGCTATGGTACACAAACAGAGTGAATTTTAAAGAATGCATTTATTCTATTGTGGTTAATGCGCTGTCGGCGAAGTAGATTTAATTCAATCCAATAAGTTTAAAGGAAATGCAAGAAAAAATGCATATAATTTAATATTCCGTACAAGGAAGTCATGTGGTGTACACATCAGATTTTTGTTATCGCGATCGGATCTGAATTTGACATGGTGTAACGTGATAAACATATTTGATACAACAGATTCAACTGTAAGCTAAGCTAAACGACCGCCTCTTGTCATTGACGGCTTTAAAGCTCTGGCGCTTTGGAAAAGTGTGTCTCAGAAAGTCGTACCAAGTTGAAACCTTGCTATATGTTTAGAAGTAATGCTTCAGACTTCAAATTGGTTATGTTCTGTTGACCTTCGGGCAGGTTTTGCAAAATTTCGTTACTACTTTCGTCTTCAATGTCTTTAGCAAAATTTGTCTTTAATCATCGAAGTGCAATAAAATGGAGGGACTAGCCACGATGTGGTTAGATCTGCCATTATCACGTGCCTGCTAATATTTTGATTGGGTATTTTTTCTCGAAACGGGATCTTGGATATTCTACACTACCACCAACACACACTGATCTCCTACGAGACAATTAGCTTCCTCCTTTCCCTTACTTGCTTATGATTTCGTCATTTCGTCTTTTTCATGAGAACAACTCAGTCCTGAATTTGTATGCCATGAGCCATGACGGCCCCGGTTGTCTGAGCTTTCATGTCCTCTTCTGTTCTGTTCAGTTGACAGCTCAGACGAAATGTGTGGAGGTGCCGGCGATTTGCTGGCTGTGGCAGAGGTATTGATGTTGGCTACACAGATGCACCATGAGGAACCGAGGATGTTACTTATCTAGACAACTGGTGCGAAGGCCTATACTTATACTTGCTTGGTGGCCCCTGCACATGTGACATGTTTGTTCTGTTTAGCGGACTGAGTTGGTTGTAGATTTTCAACTGTTATGAAGAAGGACCTTGTAGTATTTCACGAATGCGGTTGCGGTTATGCTACTGCAACACAAAAAAGTTTGCTTTGATCAAATAGAGTGTGTCCCACTCTACACAGCACACGAAAAGGTGTGATAAAAATCTTATAACAAAAGGAAATGAAACCAAATTTTCACATAACATGCCTTTATGTTTGAGAAGAGAAAGTGCATTAGAAGAGGTGCTGGATGTGATCCCCTCCTTCCTGTATGCACAGTTCAACACGGAGTTGCATTTTCGTGTATGTTGCTCCCAGATTACACGTGGTAGAGTGATGAAGCGTGGTTCCACTTGTCAGATTAACGTAAACTAACGAAACACACTTTTATAGAGTAGTGACAACCAACATGCAGCCGTCGAGGAACCCTTTCAATCACAGAAGGTGGGTGTGCATTAACACAGCGGCGCATTATCGGGCCAATTTTTTTAGATTAATGTCACCAGTGAGAGGGTACCCGGCACTTTTTCATCAATTTGTGAACCAATTGAATGATGACACTTGGCTTACCAGCAAGGTGTGGCAACATGCCACAAATCTGTAGGGAATATGAACGCGGTTGAATCACCTTTCCCACTTTTTCAGACTGAGTTTTTTTCTATGGGGTCGTCTTAAGGGTAATGCGCACAAGAACAAACAACGCATATCGACGATTTACACTGGAACATCCGTCGTGAAATCCAAGGAGTGACACTCACTACTCTGGTAGCAGCATACTCGAAAATGCAGCGTCATACTGAACTGTGTGTACAGGTAAGGGGGAAGATCACTTCTAGCTCCTCTTCCAATGTACACTGCGAAAAAAAAAAAAAAAAAAAAAAGAAGGGAGCAGTTCAATATCTCCCGTTCTACTGGGCCGAATGACGAAATTCAACTTGCGTTTTTCATGTCTCGAAAGCGCGACTTAGGATATGTATTAGGTTTATATATAGCACTGTTCTAACATAGGTATTTTGACACAAAATCGGACTTTTTCTGAAATGGCATGCCATTTTTTTCCATATTTCGATCCTACTACTCAAATTACAACAAACTTCCTAGCTTAGTAAAAATCGCACGAGTCTCTTTTAAAAAATTAGCTCTCAAAATTTTATGTCCTCAATGTTAATTCAATTTGGTATGTATTCATTGATAACTCCTTTTTTTATTAAACTTATTCGATTCCTTCTTACACAGTTCAAAATTTAAGTTCATTTCAAATAAAATTCGCCCATTTTTTAAGATTTATTTTTTAAATTTGTATTTTTGAATAATTTTCCTAAATTTTTCGGAAAAAAAAACATTTTAATTATAGCTTATAAAATTTTTACAATCATCTTAAATTAGATGTATTTTTAAGCATACCTGCAAAAAATTACAGATTTTTATTCAAAATTTCCGAAGATATACGTGAATTTATATATTGGCGCATTTTGAAATTTGGCATATTTGTTGAAAGCGATAATAACGAAAATGTGGTTTACGTACTTCGTTAAAATTATTTGAAAGTAAGAACGTATGACTTTTTTTCGCTCATCTACAATATAAAAAGATAGGAAAGAGGTGCCTTTTTTTCCCGTTCCGGCATAATGGAAGGGTAAGGAAAATAGGTTGCCATACATTAAGAAGTTCGGAGTGAATTATTCTTGGCGCAAACTGAAAATATTGCGCCAAGATATATTTTTGAATTTCTCCGTAAATTTTGCCCCAAATTCTACAGAATTTAATATCTAGGCATAATTGAATCGTAGAATCGAAATATAAAAAAAAATGGGTATGTTATTTCAGAAAAAATCCGGTTTTTTTTTTATCAAAATAGCTATGTTAGACGCTACCGACATAATTCCACTAAGAAATGTAAATGAGATACATTCCGCAAGAGAAGAAGAGGGAAAATGTGGTCACGTGGTTTAATAGCAACAACATTCGCATGCGCTATGTTTACAATGGAGTCGATTGCAGATATTCCGCTGAAATTAATTTGATTTTTCGAATTTAGAAATTTATGGCGATTGCGGAAAATTAAAAAATACGTTTGAAAATGATTTCTCTTCCCTTGATGTCAACAAGAATATTCAAGCAAAAACATGTGAACAATATTTGTTTCAAAGTAATGCCGGCTATCACGGTTCTCTTCGTCGTCCGTAACGCGTCTAGCGCGTTCAAGTGAAACTTTCTCAGGGCGGCCGTAACGCACTTCAAGCCTTCTCCTACAGTGAGAGATGGCTTCAACGTCTACTCAGCAGAAAAAGAGAAAAAATGAGGTTGTGAATTGGAAAGACAAGAAGGATATACGTTTAATGAGTACAGTCGATAACTCGATGATTGATAATGGAACACGGAAAAGAACTGTAAAGAAGCCAATAATTGAAAAAGATTACAACAACAAAATGGGAGGAGTGGACCGCCTGGATCAGATGTTACCAAATTATCCTGCTGTTAGAAATAAGCACAGCTATTATTATTTTTCCCATTATGCTTTATTTCCTTATAAGTTTACTTAATACTCATTGACATTCATTCAGTACGAAAGTCATATATGGAAAGTTATGATGTACAGAGAAAACAACATTATACGCTACGAAAAAGCAGACGGCCGCTGGAGGGGGGGGGATTTTCGCGGACAGGAGAGGATGGCGAAAGGGTTAAGGCCGAAATGAAGAAATCAATTAATTATGAAACATCTGTGCAAATTTCTTCAGAAAACGAAGTAATATTTATAAATTTTTTCTTATGCGTGATGCTTACCAGTATTAATAATGTTTTTTTTTTAAAGAATCTTAAGTGTATGTGAGTTAATTGAAAACTATTCCCGAGACCTTGAATAACGTTTTCCAAACTTTTAAATGTAAGTGTAATAATAGTATATACATAGTTCATGAATAGTTGTTCTAAATTACTGAAATAGCCGTGAAAGATTTGTTTATCTGCAAGAACATAAATACAAAGCCAATTTTCTCTCATTAATATTAAATAGTGTCATAGAATATTTTATGCAGCTAAAATTTTATTAATTTCATCAGGACATGTTTTAATATTTTAGCTGTTGTAATCGATTTTTAATGAATACACATAAATATCGGAATGTTAATTTTTTTAATACCTTCCATTGCAGATATTAAGGACACCAACAGCTGCAACATTAAAAGCATCAGTAATACTGAACTTTTTAATATAAAAGGATGCTTTTATAAGAATTTAGTCTTAATTCTAAATTTTCATGAAAAATTGATGAGTTTTTTTTTTTTTTTTTAGTTTAAATATTAAATTAGCATGCATATTTAGTCCTTGAAAATCAATGATTGTGTCAGTCCATAGTTTGAGATAAAATGTGCCTTAGGTATATGCATTAGAATTACACTTGTCTATTTTCCTATGATAGATCTTTTCAATAAATACATTTGAAAATCTTTTTCAGCTACATGACTTTAAAATAAAAAATCTGATGTGTACACCACATGACTTCCTTGTACGGAATATTAAATTATACGCATTTTCTTGCATTTTGTTTAAACTTCTTGAATTTAATTATATCTACTTCGCCGACAGCGCATAAACCACAATAGAATAAGTGCATTCTTTAAATTTCACTCTATTTTTTTACCACAGCGACATTCTGGCGCTAGGTTCACTTAACAGTATTACATTTCGTTCATATTATAACTCAGAATGCACAAAATTTGTATCATTTAAAGAATTATCTAATCGTTGCCACATGTTCTATTCAAGTACTATAATAAAGCTAGAACGATGTATAAAAGAAATTAAGCAAACAAAGCAAAAAAGAAACAGTTTTTCACAGACGATGAGTATTTCTCATTCAATGAAATTCAGTTCTCACTTCGCGAGAAGGCAAAAAAATACATAAAAAACTCTAAATATCTCTACTAAAAATTACTAATATTAAAAATTAAATTACTAATATTAAAAAATTAAGTAAATCTTAAACACTTATTTCCTCGAAAAATTCCAGAAAGGATTAAGCATGATTTAAATCGCAATAGTAAATGAAGGCGTTTATCTTTGTTGTTGCGAAGCTACGTTTCTCTAGATTGGCAACAAATTCAATACTCAGCTGTTTCAAATGTAAACAAGCAATGGCCGCCATCAAAATAGGCTTAGCGGCACTTGACCAACTTTTAAATTGTTGATAATTCTAAAAATATTGCATACAGATTTACTAAAGGCATAAAACCCTTAACCGGAGGATAAAAACAACATAATTCAATCATTTTTAAAAAAACAAAATGTACAATTTACAAACATATAAGAGTAAAGAAACTGTGATCATTGAGCCGGGTAACAGAGTGGATATATTTATAAATATATTTATATACGTTTGGCGCGGCCGATTGAAACCAAAATACGAGGTGCACATCTGCATGTTATAGTAGTCCTATATACAAAATTTCAACGTTCTGAGGCTACTCGTTTTTGAGTTATGCGAGATACGTACGTACGCACGTACGTACATATGTTCGTACAGACGCCACGAAAAATTCTCTTCAAAATTCATTTTAAAGCAGTTTTTTAGTTTTTTTGGGTGTTGGAGGAAAAGACTTTTATTCTGTCCTTACGTACAGATATCACGCAAAAACATCGTTAAATTGCTTTCGAAAGCGGTCAAAGTGGATATTTTCGTTGAAATATGCTGCCTCTGAAGCTTTTCACGATTGCAATACTTCCTTTTTACTTCGTACAAGGATATCTCTATATAACAAATCTCTATATTTTGCTTTTTGACATTTATATTATAGTATAAATTTTAAGTTGTATAAGATTATATATTAATTTTGAACTGCGCAGAACATTGGCATCGTTATTCTTACATGATTTAAGGGCCAACTGCATTTACAGTGCTCCGGAAATTTGGCTATTACGATTTTCAAAAACCAGCTATTTATATTTACTGTTCTGCTTGTTATGCTGATAAATTTATGACTTCAAAATATTTATAGTAACTTTCTTTTCAGTGTAGAAGAGCAATCTATGTAAACAGGATTTTATGTATTGATTTTTACATTTTTTATAAATGAATTAAGTATCAGATTAAGGAAAGAATTCGTAAATAAATATTAAGAATCAAAACATGGTAAATCAGCGAACAAAAGAGTATCATGAAGATAACAATAACATACAGTGTCTCAAAAAAGTGATGGGACACTTCTGCTTTACAAAAGGAAACTGCAATAAAATAAATTTAAAAAACATGTAAAATATTTTGTGGGTGTGTTTCATACTTAAATTTAGTAAACAATTATTACATAACATACATTTTCTCAAAATATTAAAATATTAATTTAATAAAAATACAATTGTTTAGAACGGAGCAGAAAATGGCTCACTTAAGTGATGGGACACTTACTTTTCCACCAAAAATATTTATCCAAAAATTTTGCTTTTTAAAAGGTTTTAATATTTGTTGGATTTCCTTTTACTTTTAAAACATGATTTAATCTTCTTGGGATGGATTCGACTAATTTTTTTGTGTGATTCTGGAGTGATTTTACCCCATTCTTCTTGAAGCACCGATTTTAATTGTTGTTTTTGAAGAAATGGTGTGTTTGCGAATTCTTGATTCCAATTTTTGCCAAATATTTCTCTATGTGATTTAATTGTGGAGATTGTGGTGGTGTTTTTATTATTTCAGGACAGTTATACAGAAGCCAGACTCTAACGTTCAAAGCAGTGTGCTTGGGGTCATTGCCCTGGTAGAATTTAAAATCGTTATGAAGGTTCAATTTTCGTGCCTGAAGATTTCAAATTTTGATTTAAAATGTTCAACATACTTGTGCCTGATCCATTATACTGTCAATAAAAACAAGACCATTACCGACTCCAGCGGACGACATACACCCCCTATACCATAACTCCTCCTCCACCATGTTTTACTGTTGGCACCAAGTTCTGTTTGCGAAATTCTTCCCCTGGGTTTTCTCCACACCAAGATTCTACCGTCAGAACCAAATATATTAAATTTATCTCATCAGCAAAATATAACTTCATTCCAGTAATCAGAATTCTTATTTATGTTGGATTTTGCGAAAGTCAGTCTGAGTTTTCTATTCTTTTCACTTACGAAGAATTTTTTCCTGGCTGCTCTACCGTGATATCCAGTAGATCGAATTACTCTTCTAATAGTCTCAGAATTAACAATTACTCCATATAATGCTTGTAAATCAGCAGCAACTTAGGAGCACTCATTCTTGGATTTTTTTTAAATATTTCGAACGATAATTCACTTTATTCCATTGGATAGCTTTGATGGTCGCCCAGGTCTTCTTTTATCCTGAATCATATGATTCTTTTTATATCGTTTAATGATATTGAAAACTGTTGAATGACTGAAGTTAACTGTTTCAGTAGTTTCTCTAATAGATTTTCCACGTTCAATATGCAAATTAATAACTAATTTTCGAATTCCAGGCAAAGTTTTTCTTTTCGTTTAGCATTCATGGCTGCACAGAGCTAAAAAACACAAAAATTTCAAAACAAACTGGAGAGAAATACTGCAGACGATTTTATAAATTATTGGCAATTGCTTTTGAGTAAAAATAAATACCCCAAAAGATATTTTATTACTTACTTCAGACGATTTTTGTTGCATAGTACGTAGTGTCCCATCACTTAAGTGAGCAATTTTCTGCTCCCTTCTAAACAATTGTATTTTTATTAAATTAATATTTTAATATTTTGAGAAAATGAATGTTATGTAATAATTGTTACTAAATTTAAGTATGAAACACACCCACAAAAATTTTTACATGTTTTTTAAATTTATTTTATTGCAGTTTCCTTTTGTAAAGCACAAGTGTCCCATCACTTTTTTGAGACACTGTATAAGAGTTACCAAAATTTATACTAATCAAATGAATGAACAGTTAATTTATGGATGAAATAATAATTAAAGATGAAATGCAAATTTCATAACTAATTAAAAATAAACAATGTTTCTGAATTTTCAAAACATCTAGCACAACAGAAGCTTGTTTGTTTACATTAGCAGTTCTTACATCACGTGATCTCCGACGTCACCGGAATGTATCTCATTACCGCTAACGATTATCCGCAAAGAATATCCGCAGACGATGCGCGCGCTTAAAAATGTTTTCCAGTTATTCTGTAAGTTTTGACTAATAAAGTTTGTTGTTCGTTCAAAAATGGCGAAAGTTGTTTAAACTTCATTACAAACCTACACAAGAATAAATATCTGGTGGTAGTCGCTGGAATTGAAAGGTGTGAAATCAGAGTTTATTTAAAAGAAAAGAAAATATAGTACTTGTGAGTATAAGTTTTAATGAATACTGTGCCATTTTTTATGAAAATGTTGCATCTTATTATTGAATTAAACTAACAGAACGATATTCTATGTTTAAGCTTTTGGATTAAAGCGTCAAAATATTTAACTTTTTTTTTTTTTTTTTTTTTTTTTTTTTTTTAAATTTGAGCTCTTACATTAGAGTGGTAAATTTATTACGTTGATATTAGAATATTCTATTCTAAAATTTGAGCTCTTGTATTAGAAGTAGGCAAATTTATTACGTTGATATTAGAATATTTATATTATAGAAATTTGAGCTCTTGTATTAGAGTGGCAAATTTATTACGTTAATATTAGAATGTTTATATTATAAAATTTGAGCTCTTGTATTAGAGTGGCAAATTTATTACGTTGATATTAGAATATTTTTATTATGAAATTTGAGCTCTTGTATTAGAGTCGCAAATCAAGAATTTTGTTGTTTGAATCAAGTTACAGGCTTGAATTCTTTTTATTTACTTTAAAATAATCGCCCAGACGGTATAGTGGTTAGGGCAGCCTACTACGGTACCGAAGTGCCCGGATTCGAATCCCGGAGAAGACATGGATGTTTGTAAATGTATAGCGTCGGTGCGGCAATCTAAATATGCGGCAAAGTTGAAAGTCTTCTTGTGTAGATTGGTGGAAGGGGAGAATGGTGGGAGACACCCTTTCCCTTCCCGGGGTGCTCTTCCTCAAAACTGGGCGAAGAACTAAGAGGTCCTGGAATTTGTGGAATCTAAAACAAAGCCATTAATGGCCCACAGTAATGTTTAAGGTTAGTTTCACAGATCTTTCAGCGAAGGGCAACAGTCGATCAGAATAAAACTGTTCGAAAACTTATTGTAGCTAAGTCCTAGAGCTGGACGATCTGCTCCAAAACTGGCCCACTAGCGGCCGAGAGGTAAAGTCGCTGAACACTGGTAGTTCCGATCTGGTTTCGAATCCAGACGAACGGGCTGGCTGTACGGGCGTTTTCGAAGTTTTTCCGATGTACAACGTGTATACGAGCCAGTTTCCTTTAGAAAGGCCTCCACAGAGGCATCCTTCCCCTTAGGCAGGTAGCCCTAGTGTGCTTTGTCATAACAAACCAAATCTGCGCCGGAACTGATTCAAAGAACCGATTCACTTTACTGAGCGAATTTACTCTGATTTCAAAAAAGGAAGTTGTTTTATAGTACGTGGAGAGTTCTTGTTGGAAACGTGCCGGGAACAGAGATCTGCTCTTTCGGTCACGAACTGATTCATTTTACTGTGTGAACTTACGCTTGATAGGCGAAAAAAGAACGAAGCTCTTTTTGGAAGCGTGGCAGAAAATTTCGACTTCCATTTTAGTGGAGAAAACATTGCTATTCTCCCATCTTAAAAGTGATTTTAATTATTACCATTTCACAATTTTTTTGAAAAATTTGTGTTCTAGAATTTTGTTATTAATTCTGTGCAGAAAGGAGGTTTTAGGGAATCTCAAAACTACGGATGAAAAAATTAGTTCGGGCGCTTGCTTGAGTCCATTCTTTCGATCCCACTTTTCGTTCGATTCTTTTTCCCGATCCCACTGTTTGTTCGAATTCTTCCCGCTTTATCCTCACTAGCCGCTGTTGATTCATCCGCCGTTCTGAATATTTTTCATCAAAGTTATTGAGCGGTGCGTCATAAGAAAAGAACCGAATCATTTCAGTGAGCGAACTGTTCTGATCCTATTCCATAAAAGATGGGTTTTGTCCAACTCTAGAAAGAACTGGAACTGAATATCGCTATTTCTATCGTGTTTTTGTTATTTGTGTACGTACTGGAGCTGATTAATTTTGTTATGGACCACAACATTTTTTCAGAGACCTGTATAAAATTAAATAAAGCTTTTGAAGTTACATTTAAAAATGAATAACTGAATTTACCTTTACATGGTTTGCAAGCTACACCACCACCCAGGGATATCCAGAAGAAGAGATCTCCAGGTCTGAGATCTTTAGAACTCCAAGCCGTTGTAGGGCTGCCGTCGCTGCAGCACTCTTCCCTGGTTACGTTGGTACGTAAACTTTCTGTGCACCTTCCATTTCGATTCACCAAGCTCCAACACTGTCCACCTGTGACAAAAAAAGTTTGATGTTAGTGAATTTTAAGACAACACTGAATTAAACACAACTTAAGATTAGAATTCCCATCTGTGTAATACTAATACAATTGTCACCACTTAATGGGATCGCGTTTGCCCTTAACTATTTTGAGAACATTAACCGAATTATAACATTAGGCTATGAAAAAAATATCCTTCAAAATAACAATGGAATTTAGCTGATTTAACTTAAATATATAACTAAATAATGTTGCGAAATGCCCAGCTGCGGTGAGATGGCTTAAACGCAAAGCGAGTTTAGGGTTGCCAGCAAATGGCAAGGAGAGGCAGGGTTGTCATATTTGGCTCAAAATCGCCCGTTTGGCGACAAAATTGGCGATATTCCATAGACGGATGAAGAACACTCTAGAACGAATTCTTAGCGGTTTGGCCCAGAATATTCTCGGAGGCAAGCCAAAAGCTATATAACACCTGCCTGTACGCAGTATATCGTCATTGCATCCTCGAGGTATCATCGAATTTTATCTTGAATGTGTTGAGCTTCGGAGAGCGATCGACCGAGTCGGGAGCTGTACTTTAGTGTTTTGCCGTGAAGCTGTCTTTACCGTTATAGCCTGATAGCCTAGTAGTTTTTCGACGCCTGTAACGTGTCTTAGGAACTGTTCTGGGCAATACTAGCTAAATAAATTGTGTTTTGATTCCTCATCAAGTGTTGTCATCAATCACTCCAAATCCACGAACTCGGAGAAACGCAACAATATATATAAATAGGTACTATAAAAGCATTTTAATTAGGGAAAAGTCATTAACAGTTAACTGTTTGGTATCCTTACGCAAAAATTCCTTTTTTGAACTGTTCATAACATTTCCACAAGTTACCACCATTTTACCGATCCTGTGGCCCTAATCTTAATAATCACAGAACATTCCTTATCTCGGTATTTGGAGGAAATTTACCAATTTCCTTATTTTGGTCTTCAGAGAGTGTACCACATGGTGTTTTTGAATTTGTTTCAGGAAACGACTGGTAAATATCTTCTTCTGTCATTAACGCTTCAACTCGAATTTTTTCCAATATTTTGGCGCGGAAAAATCTATTGTTCGCTAATTCTGATGAATCTATTCGATCTCTGTCAAACTTCGAAAACGCGATCGTTAGAGACTTAATCCCTTACCTGGCGACATGTCTCTGCCATTTGTCCATTTCTATATTGTATTTCAAACTTTATTTGCCAATTCTGTCTTTTGTTTGAAGATTTTTTATCTTTTATTTGGTGATTTTACTTCAGCTTAAAAAATTCTGTCTGCAAAATTTCGAACCAAATCTTTTATCAGGATAAGCAATGTATTTCCTACGTTTTATAAGGTATTTCCTCCCTCCTTTCCGCAAGCCATCGTGGCGTACCTGGAAGCACACTCGACGCGTATTCGTAAGTTCCGGAGTTCGAATCTCAGCAAGGGCATTGCGCATTTTTTCAATTTCGTGACACTAAAAAAATTCTAAATGACTCTAGATGTGGCGTCCGAACTAAAAGGTGGTGGATGATAATTCGTCACCTCCAGGATTTGGCGACTGAGATCTATGATCCCCAGTCTCCCTTTAAATGGCGGAGTATATAAAGTACTTTCAGTCTCCTTCCCGCATGCCTTCGTGGTGTAATTGAGGAACATACTCGACGTGCGTTCCAGAGTTGCAAGGTTCGATTCTCGCTGAGGACATTGCACATTTTTCACGTTTTCTGCTTCACCTAACGACTCTACATCGTATACAAACGGACAAAACTTCACTAGTTCGATCACAATACTCGAATTATACCATTAGCCGCGATCACACTAAAAGGCGCTTACTATAAATTGCAATAATCAGTCTCTATACATTAAACTTGTCTCAAATACATTTGAGCTTCATTTAAAGTAACACGTGTGTTGATTTAAAGTTATATACATACTCCTCACTTCGCCAGGTTGGTACAGACTTGGTAATGTTTTTGTTTATAAAGTTTCGATACTCCAGAGAATCCGTGTTATTGCAATTCGTAAAGTATACTGCGATTGTTGATCTTCAGAAGTGTTCGTGTTTTTGATTCATATTCTTTATTTTGCTAATAAAACGCAAGTACATAAATGCATTTCGATTTTAAATTACTTGAATATTTCGGCTGCTAGATTCTCGACGCGTTTCGAATGTTCGAAATAGCCTGAGCCTGTAGTGGAAAACCACATCAACTACAGACTGAAGACATGCTTTTACAAATTTTCCATCAACGAAAGTTTTTCTACATTTAGCAATTTTTTTTTTATGTAGCTAAAAAGAACACTATTTTCGGACTCTTTATTCGCTCTAAAGAAAAACGACAGCTGACAATTAAGCTTTGATTTTAATTCACTAACATAATGGCTTCGAGAACATGCCTAAATTCATTGCCTACGTCCCTGGATTCCTATACACAATAAATAATAATACTTAAAAGAAAAATAGGAACAAAAATTCAAATCTACACGCTAATGCATTTTTAAAAACTTTAAGTAATGAAGCCAACAATATACAATAATTTCACAATATATATCTATCTATACATATAATAAAAGAAAGAGTCTGTCTGTGTGTGTGTCTTTCGTTCGCGCTTCGCGTAAGCTAATAGAGCCACGTCTACGAAATTTGGTACATAGGTGCATCTAGACAAGCGCCAGTGCACCTCGAAGCGATTTATTCGAAATTCGAATTCGAAATTTTTTTATTATTATTATTTTATGTTTTGTGACGAAATCGCGTCATTTTGAGACATAATGGGCTATAGGAAAGCGAGATTTTGCTTTAAACCACTCCATTTTCACATCGTCATGAAACGTAGGCACTTAGCTATTTTATGAACTTAAAATAAATTTCGTGTTTCAATAAATCGATTAAATACGAATTTATTTAAGAAAGTGAGCTTAACACCTTTTCAACGGGACTTTTTCTAAAAAAGTTTATTTTTAAAAATTTACAGTTTATTTTTCTTTGATTTTTGGACACATTAAACTTTCATCCTTGCGACTGCTTTTACAAAAAGAGTTTTGGAAAAATGATAATATTTTGTATTTAAATTTTTTTTTAAATGAAGCTTCCGAGTACACTTCTCACATCTCACATCTTTAAGAATGTGATTTTGGCAACAATTTTCCTGTCTTATTGTTGTTGATAGATTTAAATTGAAATCGCATCATTTTGAATAGTTTCATTCTTTTAGAAATATGGGTTTGGCTACAATTTTTCATTGTATTTCTTATGTCACTGTTTTTAAAAGATTGACATATTTCATTGTCATTTATATATATATATAGTGGCTAGCAGATAATAAATTAAATTAAATTAATAAAAATATTAACAGAATAAAACTGAATTAACGTCAAATCGTGCACTTGGAGCGATCACAAATTAGCGACACGACTTTGGATTTTGCCATATAATGAAAATAAACTGAAGATCAGCCCTTTCCCTAATGAACTCACTCAGAGCAATTAATTATCGCTATATAATTTTTAAATTAAACACAAATTAGTTATTATTTAATTTTCAGTTTTCTCAAAGAAAACGATTTTAGTCTCGAATTTTTATATTAGAAAATTTTTGCCCTTAGGAAGTGGATTATAATTTATTTCTAGTTTTAATACCAATACTCATGCTTCTTTTTAGCTTAATATCTGTTGTTAATGAAATTATATTCATATTTAATTTCAGTTGTAAATATAAGGTACTTTCTCCCTCCTTTCCGCATGCCTTAGTGGTATAATTGGATAGTACGTCATCTAGTAATTGGGAGATCCGATGTTCGAATCCTGGGAAGGACATTGTACTTTTCTCATGTCTCCTCCAACGATGAACCAACGATGAACCTAATGACCCTGTAATATGTATAATGATTTCTATCGTTTTTAATTTATGAACTTTGTAAAGCTTTAATCAATCGCCTGGTGTCCAAAAACAGATCAGTTTTACAATCCATTTTACATAGATTTCTTTAAGAAAAACTGTTCCAGTTTACAAGCATTTCGGCTGACTAATGACCATAGAAAAAAGAAAGAACATGTTCGTAAACTAAGGTTGTAATTTCTTTAAATTTTGACATTAAATTTACTCATATTTTTACTTACTTGTACGAAGTAAAAAGGAAGGTATTGTAATCGCGAAATGTTTCAGGCAGCATATTTCAACGAAAATATCCATTCTGACCGCTTTCGAATGCGATTTAACAACGTTTTTGCGTGACCTCCGTACGTAACGACAGAACAAAAGACTCTTTCCCTTAAAAAAAATATATAAAACTTATTTAAAATTAATTCTGAAGAGAATTTTTCGTGGCGTCTGTACGAACGTACGTACGTACGTGCCTACGAGTATCTCGCATAACTCAAAACCGAGTAGCCTCAGAACGTTGAAATTTTGTATATAGGACTGCTATAACATGTAGATGGGCACCTCGTATTTTGGTTGCAATCGGCCGCACCAAACGTATATAAATATTTATACATATATATATCCACTCGGTCACCCGGCTCAGTGATCTCAGTTTCTTTACTCTTCTCTATTTGTAAATTGTAAATTTTATTTTTTGCATTAAAAATGATTGAATTATGTTGTTCTTATCGTCCAATTAAGGTTTTTATACCTTTAGTAAATCTGCGTGCAATATTTGTAGAGTTATCAACAATTTAAAAGTTTTTTAAGTGCCGCCAAGCCTAATATTATTTTTGCGATGGCGGTCCATGTGCTTGGTTTACATTTGAGATTTTGCAGAATAGCGGATTTGTTGCCAATATAGAGAAACAAGGCTTCGAAACAACAAAGATAACGCCTTCTTTTATTATTGCCAATTAAATCACGTTTTTATAATTAATCATTAATTCATAAATTCCAGAATGGATTCATTCTTCGAGAAAATAAGTGTTTAAGATTTACTTCGTAATTTTTAATACAGATATTTTGAGTTTTTATGTATTTGTGCCTTGTCGCGAAATAAGAACTGAATT